TTTTTCAGTTCTCACCCTGGCTCAAAATGTAATTCCTCAAGTCAAAATATTATACTTAGGGGGAGGGCGGCGGGTATATACATACATAATGAGTGAGATGTGCACCATCTGGGGGATGGTCATGATGGAGACTCAGACTTTTGGGGGGAGGGGGGGAAATGGGCATTTATTGAAACCTTAAAATCTGTACCCCCATAATATGCCAAAATTAAAAAAAATTAAAAAAAAATATTATACTTAGTTAGGGCAATCTAAAATAACCCTAAGGACTAGAACCTTCACTCTTTCAAACTTTTTTGAGCCATTATATTGCAAAGGACAACTTCCTGGTCCAGAATTTTTGGACTTTTTTCGGTCTTGTGCAGAATGACTGAATAAATAATGCCTGTGAGACCCATAAAAGGAAGCATTTTACTAAAAGGAACAGAACCACTGAGCACTTTCTTTGCCATCTTTTGATATACCCACATCATAGCCCCATGTCTTGAAACCAACCTTCCTTCTATTCAACAGAAAGGATATGGATACTTTTAATTTTATCATATCAGTTTGTGTGTGTGTTTTTTTTTAATTTTAAGAAAGAGAAACCTAGAGCTATCTGCATTATGGGCTTGATCAAGGGGTGGAATTTGTTTAAAAGCATGTGAATATTTTCACCAACACTACAAGAGTCTAGTTGCTCCAAGAAGTCCTAAGGTACACCTTTTTTCCTCCATGATTCTTATCTACCTCACCTCCTTGAAATGTCAACACATGGTTTATTGAACCTACAAAACAGTGCAATGTGCATCATTCCCTTTCTTATTCCTTTTTCTAACTAACTAGCATCATTGCCCTCTTTGACAACTGCACATCTACCAGGTATTTCCAGAAAGATTCCATAGTAGACTATTGGCTCTTCAATTCACTTTTTTCCTCTTGCTAAGTTCCTAGGGACTGATCTCATGCCCTTTAACCATCCCCCCTCTTTTTTTTTCTTTTTTTCCTCCTTCTTTTAATAAATGAAGACTTTAGATTTGTTTTAGTTTTTCTTCTCACCTAGAAGCTCTCCTGGCAGGTTGAGGCCCTTGTATGGCATCCGGTGATCAACACTGAATCCCATCCTTACTGGTATTTGCTCCTTGGAGGTGAAAAAAAATGTTTTATAAGGCTCAAATTGGCCTTATCAAACAAAACATCTGCTAGATCAGTGAATGACTGGTGACAGCAGGAGACAGCAGTGCTGGCCTCTCCAATAGAAGTCACTGCAGTTAATGGAAGCTATTATGGGAAAATTCTGGCAAGAAGTTTTCTTTTTCTTTTTTTTTCTCCTCCAGAAGCTAAAAATTTTTAAAGAAAAATGTATTCAGTTGCTAGGGTAACTGTGGTTTCAAAACTACCGTAACAAAAGCCAGATATCACATATCAAACTACCAAATTGTTAATTTGACTGGTATTTTAAAATAACTATTAGAAAGAGATGTTTCCTCCTTAACTAGCTATAGAGAATAAGAGGAAAGGAGAGAACAGGGGGAAATAAAGGAAAAGAGAAAAAAAATCTGGTAGATTTAGGAAAGGTTTTTGTCCTGCTAAATATTTGTTAGAAATAAAAATCCCTTCACTGTTATGGATACATTTGCATGCAGCGTTTATTTAGTCAGATTCAAACCATAAGCAGGATACCAGGTTATTCTGTTTTCAATTTCTCTTCCCACATTTCAAACCCTGCCTGGATTTTAAGTGAACAGTTTTCTGTGGGTACTTGGTAAAGGAACTGGTTATTTAGGGGAGTCATGCATGTTCTGAAATCTTTTATGGGTGATTGTGTTTTTCCTCTGTCTTGTTTTTCATCACTTGCTTTAAAGGGAATATAATAAAGCTGTTAAGTGTTTGGACTTTGGGTTTGGTCATAGCTAGGACTGAATTCCTTTTCTATGCCTTACTAAATTCCTTTAATCTCTCTGAGCCTCAGTTTCTTCATTTATAACAAGAATATCATTCTTCTATTTGGTATTCAAGTAAAACCAAACATTTTTTTAAAAAGGAAAGGAAAAAAAAGATATCAGCTGGATATGATGATGCATGCCTGTAGTTTCAGTGACTTGGGAAGCTGAGGCAAGCAATCACTTGAGCCTAGGTATATGAGGCTATAGTGCACCATGATAGCACCTGTGAATAGCCACTGCACTGAGCAACAGGGTGAGACCCCATCTCTTAAAAGAAAAAAACGGATATCAAAACAAATAAAATAATGAAACAAATATCAACAAATAAATTGCAAGGAAAGAAAAAGAGAGAGAGACATACAGATTAAAAGAGACTAAAGAGGTATTAATATATCAACTAAACGTCATGTGTGAATATTTCAACCTGATTTGAAAAAAACAACTATAAAAAATCATTGCCAGGCTTGGTGGCTCATGCCTGTAATCCCAGCACTTTTTGAGGCTGAGAGGGTAGGATCACTTGAGACCAGGAGTTTAAGACCAGCCTGGGCAATATAGCAAACATCTTATCTCTTAAAAAAAAAAATTAAAAAATTTTGGCCTGGTGCAGTGCCTGTAATCCTAGCACTCTGAGAGACCAAAGCGGGAAGATTGCTTGAGGTCAGGGGTTCGAGACCAGCCTGAGCAAGAGTGATACTCCGTCTCTACTAAAAAATAGAAAAATTAGCCATGCATATGGTGGTGCATGCCTCTCAGCTGCTCGAAAGGCTGTGGCAGGAGAATCACTTGAGCCCAGGAATTTGAGGTTGCTGTGAGCTATGATGACGCCACTGACTCTAGCTCAGGAGACAAAGCAAGACTGTCTCAAAAACAAAATTTTTTTTTTTTTTTTCCCAAAGAAAAATTTTTTTAACAAAGGGGAACAAAAAAAACAAAATTTTTTTTTTTTTTGAGAAAGGGATCCTCCTGCCTCAGCCTCCCAAGTAGCTGGGACCACAGGCATGTGCCACCATGCCCGGCTAATTTTTTGTATATATTAGTTGGCCAATTAATTTCTTTCTATTTATAGTAGAGACGGGGTCTCACTCTTGCTCAGGCTGGTTTCGAACTCCTGACCTGGAGCAATTCGCCCGCCTCGGCCTCCCAGAGAGCTAGGATTACAGGCGTGAGCCACCGCGCCCGGCCTTTTTTTAATTTACGAGACAACTGGGGAGACTTGAGCATTGATTGGATATCTGATGATATTAAGATATTATTTCAAATGTGTTTAGGTATGATTATAACATGGTATGGTAGAGTTATCTTTTGATATTTTAAAGAGTTATCTTGATATTTTGATACATACTGTAATGTGTACAAATAAAATGATATGATGTCTGAGATTTGCTTCAAAATAAGGCAGGGGGAAATGGATGAGGGAGAGATGAAACAAGATTGATGAGCCGACAATTGTTGATTCTGGGTGATGGAAACATAGGGGTTTAAGAAGTATTCTCTCTACTTTTAAATATGTATTTAACGTCTTCTATAATAAAACTTTAAAAAAAGAGATATCAGTAATACCTGATAAGATTATTGTGTAGATTAAATGAGATGCTATGTGTAAAGCACTTCACCGAGTACCGGGCACATAATAATTGCTCAATAAATGTTAGCTACTACTATTAGAAACAAGATCTCTTCTTTCCCTTGTGCAGAATATGAAAGCCAGACCATGAATTGTATTGCTGACTGGAGCAGCTAACTTCACCACTCCTGAAATAGGCAACTGCAAGCTGTCATTGCATCCATCCTCATCCAACCCGATTCTGTACTGGGCCCTCTGCTTCACACACACACACACACACACACACACACACACACACACACACACATTCTATTCTATAGTGGCTGTTAGCTTTGCCTTTAGTTTCACAGTAAGTTTTAGCTGGGAATGCTATTTCAGTGGAAAATGGAAGGCAAGAACTTTTTTTTAGCTAAACTGTTAGTAAGTATTGAGCACATAACCAGAAATTTCCCTGTATAGTTTTATTTAATGATTCATTTTAGAGAGAAGGAAACACAAGTTTCAAGCCCTGCCCAAGGCCACAGCAGTGTTAAGTGGTGGGCCTTAACTCACATCCAGCTCCTGGGATCGCCAAAGGACCTGTGCTCAGCCAGGAGCCCTGGCTGTCAGCCCTCTTGCCTTTCTCTTCCTTGTCCTAGCTTAAACATAAGCACAATCCAGAAAAGGTTATGAAGTGCATGAAACCACATTCATCTGTCCTTTGGACTGAGAGGCAGGGCTGGTTGCAGCAGGTGGTAAAAGATCTGCCTGACTGATAAGGAGAGTCACAGGCTTGGGAGTAGCTTGGGACTGGCAGAGGGAGACTCCGGAAGGAGTAATAGAAAAAGGGTTTTGGAATTGCACTGACATTTGTGTTTAATTTCCCTGTTTTCCAGATGCTATTCAACTTTTAAGGGAAGAAGAAAGCAGGGAGAGATACCTTATAGGAGAACTGCTCAATCCCCCAAATTAAAGCCAGCCAGCTGCCATCAAATACCATGAGCCCTAAATTCAAACTCCAGCTATAATTTAGTTTGGTGGTTGCAATGACACCCTAAACTTGCAAATGATGAGTTGACTTTAGAATCCTGCTTATATAAAGCGGGACAATTCCATGCAAGGCTGGCATCTGGTTACGACTACAGTAATTTGTTGTTTACATCCAACTCTCCCGGGAATGGGGCGGTGAAAGGCATCAGGAGAAACAGAAACTCTGGGCCTCAGAGTTGCCTGAGAAGAAGCGTGAGTGCTTCAAACTTGAGGGTCAGTTTCTAGGGTCCCTCTCCAGGGTGTCGGGACGGGTAGAGTTCTGTCTGCCGCCACCTGGAAGATTCTCGACTAACCCTTTCCCTGCCGAGGCCCAGAGCCCTGACTGTAAGGCCACTCCGGAGCGAAGCTGCAGTAAGGAGCAGATACCAACCCCCCGCGGGAGCGGACTGCCCCTCTCCCCAGACCCGCCCACTCCCTGCTGCGAATCCCTGATCCTCTCCTTCGCGCCAGGGCTAAGGTCTTCTTAAATTAAGAAACAATAGCTATTTAAGAAGAAGCGCAAATAACCCGCGCCCTGCGCGCCCAGGCGTGGCATTGTTGGCTGATCCCCTCCAGCAAGGAACCCGGCTGCTCGGGTCAGCCGCGGAGGAGAAGAGGGACCCGCCGTGCTGGGGCCGGGGCGTCGGGAACACCCAGCAACCCGCCTCCAAGGCCCCGCCCCGGCCTTCCAGCCTGCGGGGGCCCGCCGAGTGGGGAATCACCCTCCGCACTGCGGCAGACTTGGGAGGGGAGGGGTCCAGAAGCCGTAGAGAGGGGGCGCCCAGAGCCAGATCCTGCCTCTCGGAAGTCCGGGACTGTCCCCAGTCCAGCCTCTGGCCCTGGCGTCTGGAGCGCGCTCCACCTAAAGCGCGGGCCAGACGCGCGGTGCCACAGCCTTGAAGTCCTTTTCTTGTCCTGAAGGAGCCGGCCCTCCTTCAGAGAGGAGGGAATGGGAGGGTGGAGATTCCTCCCATTCCCTCCTCCCGCTCCCACGGGTCGGAGAAGAGATGTGGAATTAAGCTGGAGTGAATACTCCGCGTGCTCTGTAATTACGCACACACTGAAATCTTCACCGTTGACTTAAGTTACTTGGCGCTGCGAGGGCTGGGGCCCTGCATATTGATTAAATGCAGCCTCTATTTACCTAAACAATAAGTGTAGAGATTAGCAACGTTCACTTGATCACAATAATGGGGTTGACAATTAAGGGGCAATGCATCCCAGATGTAACGGAGCCTATGGAAGGCGTGCTGGCGGGCGGCGGGCTTCTTGCAGAAGGGCGCTGGGGGGGCGGGGTGCTGCGGCGGCGGAGAGAGCGAGCGGGTGCAGAGCTGGAAGCCGCGAGGGAGCACAGCGGGAGGCAGGGGGAGGCCCAGCCGCGGGCCATCCGGCCCAGGAGGCTCAAAGCTGGCTTTGGGGGACCTGAATATCCTGGATCCCAGGGAGGCTTCTGGAGCTCGGAGCCAGCTTCCCTACGGCGATGGCACCTGCCTCAAGGTCCGGCGGCTTGCGGATGCCTGGCTGGGAAGGATGATGGACGCCGCTGGCATGTGCCCAGGTGAGTGTGTCTGTGTCATCAGTGTATGATTCTGCACGCGGCAGCGGGGGAGAGAGGGGCGAGGGGGAGGCACACGTGTCTAAACTGTGCGGAGCCTCCCTGTACCCCTATGTGCAATCGCCATTCCGTACTCCTAGAAGCGAGTCTGGGTGGAAGGTGTCGTTTGGACTCTGGAAGGGCGTGGGTGTGACATCAGTGGGTGGGACAGGGAAGTTCAGCCTGCCAGGGTTGAGCTCTAGAGTGGCTGAAGTCAAGAAAGCATGGACATGTCAGCCCTGGGCAGGCCTGTTCCTGGGTATGTCACAGGGGTGCCTCGGTCCTTGCGGGGAATCTTACAACTGACCTTTTTTCTCAGCCTTTTACTGAACTGTAGGGCCCTGAGAAGAGATCTTAGGAAGGAGGGGATTGAAAGAAAGTAACTCAGAGAAGAACTCAGGAGAGTGGGACATGATGTAATAAAGGACAGATGAGAACAGTCGAGCGTGTGTTTGTGTGTGTGAAATCACATCCGCCTAGAAGGGTTTTCGAATCCTGGGCTCCCATCGCAGCCTAGCTGCAAAAGACACGTGCATGTTGTTTCTCTGCTCCTTCCCTCCTCTCTCTGCTCCCCATTATCAACCTGGAATGCTTCCCATTCCACATTTAGACCTAAACAAAAGGATTTGTCCCAGACACTCAAGAACAAGCCAGGACGAAGGCCTTTCCCGCCAAACCACTAAGGTCGGGAAATAAACAGCGCCTGCCCAGGCTCTGAGGCAGGAGGCAGGGAGAAGACTTGGGTGGTAAGAGGATCTAGAAGAGCGGAAGGAGAGAGGGCGAGAGGAAGGGAGAAGGTTGGGAAAGAGAAGAGGGAGGAGGAAGAGTAGGGACCAGCAGGGACAAAGTTGGCCGAGGGGTTCGGTTATAACCACCTCCTCCCCGCCCAGGGTCTTTCCAACCCCTGTCCTCCCCTCTTCCAGGGCGGGAGGCAGACTGAGGGAGGAGGAGGTTAGACAAAGGGAATCCTCCTCCTCTGGGACGAGTGAAGTGCGTCTGTCCTCTCCTTGCAGGCTGTAGAAAAACTGGCAGGAATGTCCTTGTCGTGAGAAGACCGACGAGTGTCTGCAGCAGAGGAGACAACTACAAACAGACTTTGGCCGGGAGGGAAGGCAGGCAGGCGGGCGGGCGGCAGGAGGAGGGCGGGCGGGGGCCAGCTTTGATCGCTTCAGTGCTGTCGTAATTTTGTCTTCGCCAGATTAGCTGAAATAGTCAGCCCTGGCGAGGAGTTCCGTTCCGCGGAGTCCCCTCCCTCCCCACCCCCACGTCATCTCGCGCCCGGAGCCTGGTCGCCGCTCCTCCCGAGTCTCTCCAGAAACTTCAAGAGCAAATGGTTTGTGTTCCTGCCGTAATTAGGACGCCGCACAGCTCTCCAACACTCCTTTAAACAAATATGTAAGCCATCTTCCCCCTCTCAGGGGACAGACCCGAGAAAAGGAGGCAGCTGGGACCGCTGCGGGCGGTGTCCCCCGCCAGGGGGTGTCGTCGCAGTGGCCCTCGACTGCTCCTCTCGGCCTTGGTCTCTCTAAGCTCTTCCTTAGGAAGAAGAGAGGTGGGCAAAGAATATACATCTCGCCCCCCACCGGACAAGCCAGGCGAACCTGTGCCTTTGCTTGAAAAGTTTTCTAAATAAATGACTTCGGTGACGGTGCTAAGCTGCGATGAACAGAGGCTGGGCCCGGCTCTTCTCCAGAACAGAGTGCGGATGTGAAGGATGTGGAATCTCCTCCCCCACCGCTTTCTTTTTCTCCCCCATATAAATCAGTCATATAAATCATTCGCATTGTTTAAGGTACATTGATCAATCTAATGGCTTGTAATAGGCTCCTAATTGCCACTTGCAGAATCCTGCAGGCTCACGTTTGAACAGGGAAGGCTCTCAATTCCAGCCAAGTCCACCTTAGGCTTAGGACTGCGCGGTTGCAGAACCCAGAAAGAGCGCCACGACGGCCCTGGCACTCCAGTCTCAGTGCCTCCGGGAGCGAGGGGGGAGGAGGTGTTACTGTGGATATTCGCTTTTCATTTTTTTTTTCCCTCAAAGCTCCTTTCCAAATCAGCAATTCATTAATGAGCAAAGCCCAGCTGCAATTCATGGATTATTGTGGGCTAGGGATCATTTTGTTAATATCAGACAAGAAACTTTCCTTGTTTGCATCCCGTGTCTATGTATTTACAGTAAAAACTTTGTAAGTCCACAAACTGATATGCTTTTAGTCGTATCTTCTCTTCTTATTTACTAATTTTTAACAGGGCAACATCAGGAGTTGTGATAGGAAATAATATGAGGGAAGGGGTGGTATATTAAAGAGAAGGAAGGAAAAGCCAAAATTTGTCCAGTAGAGTCCTGGAGGAGTGCCTACACTCCTGTTTAACATCTAGTGGTTGTAGTACCTTCTCCAAGTCCTGGATGGAGGAGGAAAGAAAGAGCTGGAGGCCTACTCAAAAGCTGCCCCTGAAAGGGTAAAACTGAGGTACTCTGGCGGGAGAAGCTGTCTAATGGCCAGGATCCTCTGGCCTCTCACTTTTCTTGATACCAGTTGAGGGTCTATGTGAAAGGTTGCTTTAATGTCTCCAAAGATGGTTCCATTAGAGTTGGCTGAGACAACAAATGTGCATTTCAGTAGAGATGCTCTTAAAAACAAGAAAGCCAAGAGAGAGTACCACATTTGCTTAGGTCTGAAGACCCTTCTGTAGTTGTTGATAAGGAAGGGAGGGAGGAAGGTAAACCCCCAAGCCCAATAGGCCCCCTATAGTTTCCAAGTGATGCAGTAAACAAATCTATGATGCTTGTTGAATAATCTTCCAATAATTGCAGTCATTAAAATCATCACACAGTCTACAGTCACCTTCCTTCCTTTGACACACCAGAATCTTTCCTTTAATTGTTAATGCATTTTTGGCTCAGATAAACAGATGGAGGCAAGCTTAAAATACATGGCCCAGATACATCTATCAGCAGAAAATTAGTTGTGTAGCAAATGTTTTTAGTGTACTTAATAGAGTAGGGGTTTTCAATTTCTCCAGCAGACCCTACAGAGGCAAGAAAGATTTGCATCTTCTACCACCTCTAAATAGCAGTGGCACCTCTGAGATAGGAAAAATGATGAAAGTCCTATTGGCCTATTGATTCTTCCTGGCCCTTTTATTTGCTAGGGTTGGGATGAAATGAGGGCATTATAGAACAAATATTAAATGAAAGCTCAACAGAAATTGTGGGAGAGTTCCTCAATTTTCAATTAATTTGCTCCATCCATTTGATCTCGCCGCTGGTGCTTTAAAAAATATAAATATGTGTTAACTATAAAAGATTCCCCTCTAATCAAAGGCTGCGTTTCATTTTCACCCACAACTGACTAAACTCCAACTGCAGAAAGGATTCACCCGACTCAACAGGCGATACGGACCACACTGGGCTTCCTTCTCCCTTGCAGGCAACGCTGGGCAGCTTTTTCTTGTCTTTCTTCCTTTCTTTTTTTTAAAACTCGAGTTATTAATGTATCTCCCCAACTCCCACACCGTGCTGACCTGATAATCACTGCTCTAGTGTAGATCATGCAAATGAAAAGCATAATTAATTGCGCAAATGATTCTAAAAGGGAGCGCTGTGGCTTAGCAAATAAATAAATAAAGGCAGTGGGAGGACAGGTCAGATAAATGCTTTTTACGGTCTGGGCTCCTGTACCTCCGCCCCCCCCCTCCCGCCTCCCGGCTCTGGTGGCCCAGGCTTTGACTGCAGCCAAGGCTAGAACCTTCGGTTTCTCCTCCCCCAACGCCTCTCCTCCCGCCCACATTCTCGTGTCTCCCCAACTCCACCTCACCACACCCGGGTGGAATATATCCGCTGCTAAACTCTGCGCCTGGTCAAAGCTCCCGGGAGACTGGGCAGCCACCTAATATTTAACCAGCTACTATATCTAGTTATTCAGAAAATAACTGGTCCTCCCGGTCGCCACCCTGCTTCCACTGCATCAGGGAGAAGCATTTTATCTGTAGCGTAGGAGCTCCCATCCTTCGGATCAGCGCTAATGACTGAATTGTTTCTCCGGCTTTGCCTTCTAAACACAGCAACTTGAGCAGTTGCTCAGATCAAAGCTCTAGGGAGAGGCAAGATGGGAGAAACAATATTTGTTCAAAGGAAGTGAACTCTTCCCTTTAATCACCCTATTCTTCTTTATTAGGATTCGTATTGAATTTTTTGCAAAAAATTATGTTGATTTAACCATAGTATATTTACGATGTAAATATATTCCGAGACGAAAACGTCACGGATCAATTGTAAAGGACCCGGATACATAATTTTAAAAAATCAGTTTCAGTGTATATGAGGTTCTCACCCCACTTTCGCTGCTCAGTCAGATTTGTTTATGCAGAATCGACATTTAATAGTGCTAATTGCACTCCAGTTAAATTGCCCTGATTGCAGAAAGGGAAGCAATTTTCGTGCTCTCTGTCTGGGTTTGGAAGAAATTGTTTTATATTCACCTCTTTATAAAGAAGTGGAGATAAGGCACCGGGGCCTTTGCACAAATTGCACTTAGGGGCTGACTGGCAGCATTCAGGCGCTATAATAGAGCATTATTTGGCCGTTTTGAATAATGTAAAGCGTTTGCTGAAAGCTATTCTCCTGAAAATTGCTTTAACTTTTAAAAGGGTGATGATTCACTCCAAACCAGGCCTTTGTTACATTGTCATTATTTCCCCAAATGTTTTAACAGTCAGCTCAACACTTTAGCATAACACATTGATCTTTGTTTAAAAACTAGATTTTTCATAAGATGAAAAAAATCTGTCAGGCAAAAAAAAAAAAACAAAAAAAAAAACTGGACTTCCTTCTAAAGATTTCCTTGGGGTCCCACGTTAGAGTTGAAGTGGCCCGGGTGTTTGCCTGCATTCGTTTGGAAAATTTCCCTAACTTTTATCGTGATGCGGACTAGTGTATCTAAAGGAATATCCGAGAGCCCACGTCGAGAGTCTGACAGCTGGAACTACGTGGAAAACTGAAGGGGGAGGGGAGGGGAGGAGAAGGAGAAGAGGAAGGCAAGCAGGGCGCCAGGCGCCCGAGGTGTCTGCGAGAACTGTTTTAAATGGTTGGCTTGAAAATGTCACCAGTGCTAAGTGGCTTTTCGGATTGTCTTATTTATTACTTTGTCAGGTTTCCTTAAGGAGAGGGTGTGTTGGGGTGGGGGAGGAGTTGGGGTGGGGGAGGAGTTGGACAGGGGAAACCTCTGCGCTTCTTCCCCTGGCTGCACAGGGTGAGTCGAAACGCCTCGCTGCCACTTAACAATCCCTCTATTAGTAAACCGACGCGGAGACTCTATAGGAAGCCGAGGACCAGTCTCTTCTTCTAGGGCAGAAGTCACCTGTTGGGAATGGCTCCCGGGTCCCCCTGCTGGGCTCTTGGGCTCTTCCAGGCCGCCTGATTTCCCCTTCAAACCCTCACCCTGCGTCCCCCAAGGGCTCCTCAGCCCCCCATTTCCACTACAGTCCCCCAGGGCACAGCGCTTCATTTATAGCTGTGCAGGTCTTTTCGCTCTCTTTTCTTTTTCTTTCTCTGTCATAATTTCCTTGGTGCTTTCGCCACCTTAAACAAAACAAAACAAAAAAGCATTATGAACATAAGTATTCCAACAAAAAGCAAAGAAAGAAACCCACATAGCCCTCCCCACACACGGAGTGCGCCAAGATGCGCGCAGGCTCCATCTTAGGGTCGAAAGAAGTGCCATAGTTGTTGCACTGTTGATCTTTTGGGCCAAGAGATCTTGCAAAAGAGGAGAGAAAACCCTGGGGGTACAGTTCCACGTCCTCCTCACTTACTCCCTACCCCCTCCGCAACAACTCTGTCTTTTGCACCCGAGCATTTGGGTATTTAGGGTTGGTAGTTTAAAATATATATATATTTTAAAGAAGCAGAATGTTGGTTTGGAAGGGAATGTGCTACATTAAAACCAGTAGCCAAGTAGGCCCAAGGGCGCTGGTATTTCTGGTTCAAACGCCTCTGGCTAACCTGGAGAAGAAAAAGAAAGCAGAGCCCAGAAAGAAGAAAAACGCACAGCGTTTGCTGTGGGACTCCAGGATGCACCCTTGTCGGTCTGAGGACAACTCTTTCCACACTGACAAGGTCCAGGGAGGACTTCAGGATGCTTCCAGCCTGCAAGGTGTAGAGGCGCCCACGTGTGGCCTGATCTTCTGTACGCGGGGTAGGTCTGGGACGGGGTCCTCCGGCACGTCCACGAAAGCAGGGCGCTGAGGGAGCCCACCTCTTAACACCGCGCCCTTGTACTGCAGAGGAGCCTCTCTAGGCCCTGGAGGTCTGGAGTGGGAGTGGGTTGGAGCTGGGGCAAGAAAACTCTACTCCAAGCTAAAACGCGACATGCAAATCTTCACCGGGTTAAACAAACAGCCGAGCAAGCTGCAGCTTCAGCGGAGGTGGCTGTGGGGGCGGACGCCGCTCGCGCAGGTCTCTGTTTCCGAAGTTGTTACAATGTGAAAATAAGCGGCTTCGTGCAGCAGCGTGTTGTATGGGCTGATGCCTCCCACCCCCACACCAGCCCCCAGCAAAACCCGGCAGATAATCAGTACATCCCACTGTTTAGTCATATTTGACAACTGGGTTAACCTGGTATCTAGGCGCTGGCGAAACCGTACAAAGGGTGCCCTCAATTACCACTAGAAGCTTCTGGCGTGAGTGGCACTTGTATTACCCCCCGGGTCAGAGGCCAGAACGACAATTAGGAAGTCACTTAGACCGCTGAGGGCGGGGGGGAATGGCGGGATGTAGCCAGGCCCTCCCAACAAGTCTATGGGTGTAGACTTGTACGGAGAGGCCTATTTCTCTCCTCTCTGAAAAACTGTCCCTTCGCGACCCCTCCTCAATGTGACTGTGACAGTAAAACTGAATCAGTGGAACAAGGAACTGGGTAGAAGACAAACGATAATAATAAAATTGCAAGCGAGAATGATGGATAAAAGCTGAAGTTGTGCTCTGTAAGTAAGAGCATGGACACACAAAATGAGCGTTGACATTTTCCGTCTCCACTTGAGCCCTGCTGGTGTGGCCTCTACCTCGGCGCCCCCTCCCCTCCTGTCTCCTTTCCCACAAGCGGGGAGTGGAGTACGACTGTCAGCCCTAACTTGCAACATCTCGGGTTGGGGGGGGCTTGTGGCTCTGTCTCAACGGTACTCAAACCTGGCTTGGGGTGTGTGTGTAAATTTTTAATTGCACTGTAATTTCTTCAGTCCCCAGCCAGCGCCCCCTCCCCCTTCGGCACCCCCTCCCCCCGCTCCCTCCCTAGCTGACTTGACTGGCACGCGCCGGGAGCCCGGGCTCGGGCCCCTCGGCGCGCCTGATTGGCTGTGGGGCAGCTCCCGTCTGCTCTGCCTGAGCCCTCATTGGGCGAGAGGCGCAGCCAGCGGCACTTCAAAGCGGGTGCTCCTCGCACTTAGGCTGAGTTTAGCCGGCGGGAGCCCGGAGTCCGCTCGGCGCGAGCGCGGGGACGCGGGAGCCGCGCGGGACCCAAGCAGTTTTTCCGAGCAGCCGCCAGGCTCAGCCCCGTTCCCGGCCCCGCCGTGCAGCCCAGAGACCTGCTATGGCCACGTCTATACTCGGGGTAAGTCGCAAGTGTGGCAACGCATTTGCCTGTTTTAACCAGAGTAATTTTTCGTTATGGCTTCTTGGGGTCCGTGGCTCCTGAGAAACTGTTGCTGCTGGACTGCAGCTTTAGCTTCATTTAGCACTTTCCACATTTCCGGGACTGACTCTTTCCAAGTTTTTGGAATCCAGGAGATGCCTTTGCAAGACAAGGATTTCTTAAGCAACTCCCTTTTTATTTGGTTTCAAAGAAGAGCTAGAGGTTTCTTTTCTTCTCTTGGTGATTTATATCCCATCCCCCTTGCTTTGGGGATTGTTGCAATTATGCGACAGTGGTGGCTCCAGAAAACAGTCTTAATCGTTTTGCAGTCCATGTAGTCACGCTAATAAACACTTACATTTCCGCGGCTTCCCAGTTTGTCCGTGACTTTGAAATCCGTCGCTGGCCGCTTATCCTTGGATTATTGTTTTCATAATCGGTGGTGTGTGTGTGTGTGCGTGTGTGTGTGTATGTAAACATTAAAACCAACGTTTTCTATTAAAAAAGAAAAGTCGTAGCCACCCTTGGGAGGAGTGTTCCAAGTTTCGCCCTTTCCTGGGTGGCTGTTTCGGCCGCCTCCGCCCTCACCCAGCGTTTGTGGTCTGTGTTTACCTTGGTGCTTCGCCCCAAGGGCGACTTGGGGGCTCCTGGGCGAGGAGCGGGCTTAAGGCGGCGACAACCCAAGTCCGGTTCTAGGCTAGGATTGCAGCAACTGAGGCGTGGAGCAGGGAGGCATCTTTAATTCATAGCCTCACCGAAGAACAACTTTCCAGTGCCCGGACCTTCGCCCTTGTGATCGCCTCAGCCCGGCGCCGGGCGCGGCGCATCATCAGCCGCGAGCGCGTGGGGAGGAGGCGCGAGCACGGGAGTCACGGCCCCCGGCACCAGTCGCGGGGGACGAGGCTGCTCACGGGTGCACTTTGTTTCTTCCCCTCACTTCCCCCTGCCCTCCTCCTCCTCCTCGCTCCCTCCCTCACCCCACCCCCTCTAGGAAGAGCCTCGCTTCGGAACGACCCCGTTGGCCATGCTGGCGGCGACCTGCAACAAGATTGGCAACACCAGCCCGCTGACCACGCTGCCGGAGTCGAGCGCCTTCGCCAAAGGCGGCTTTCACCCCTGGAAGCGCTCCTCGTCCAGCTGCAACCTCGGCTCCAGCCTCTCGGGCTTCGCCGTGGCCACTGGTGGCCGCGGCTCGGGCGGCCTGGCGGGAGGCTCGGGCGCCGCCAACAGCGCCTTCTGCCTGGCCTCCACGTCGCCCACGTCGTCCGCCTTCAGCAGCGACTACGGCGGCCTCTTCTCCAACTCCGCGGCTGCCGCGGCGGCGGCGGCCGGGGTGTCCCCGCAGGAGGCGGGCGGCCAGTCGGCCTTCATCTCCAAGGTGCACACGACGGCGGCCGACGGCCTGTACCCGCGCGTGGGCATGGCGCACCCGTACGAGTCGTGGTACAAGTCGGGCTTCCACTCGACGCTGGCGGCGGGAGAGGTGACCAACGGCGCGGCGTCGTCGTGGTGGGACGTGCACAGCAGCCCGGGCTCGTGGCTGGAAGTGCAGAACCCCGCTGGGGGGCTCCAGAGCTCGCTGCACTCGGGCGCCCCCCAGGCCTCGCTGCACTCGCAGTTGGGCACCTACAACCCCGACTTCAGCTCACTCACGCACTCGGCCTTCAGCTCCACAGGCCTCGGCTCCTCGGCCGCCGCCGCCTCGCACCTGCTCTCCACCAGCCAGCACCTGCTGGCCCAGGACGGCTTCAAGCCGGTGCTGCCCTCGTATTCGGACTCCAGCGCCGCCGTGGCAGCCGCTGCTGCTAGCGCCATGATCTCGGGCGCCGCAGCCGCGGCCGCCGGGGGGAGCTCGGCGCGCTCTGCCCGCCGCTACTCCGGCCGCGCCACCTGCGACTGCCCCAACTGCCAGGAGGCGGAGCGGCTGGGCCCCGCCGGAGCGAGCCTGCGGCGCAAGGGCCTACACAGCTGCCACATCCCGGGCTGCGGCAAGGTGTACGGCAAGACGTCGCACCTGAAGGCGCACCTGCGCTGGCACACGGGCGAGCGGCCCTTCGTGTGCAACTGGCTCTTCTGCGGCAAGCGCTTCACGCGCTCGGACGAGCTCCAGCGGCACCTGCGGACTCACACGGGCGAGAAGCGCTTCGCCTGTCCGGTGTGCAACAAGCGCTTCATGCGCAGCGACCACCTGAGCAAACACATTAAGACGCACAACGGGGGCGGCGGGGGCAAAAAGGGCAGCGACAGTGACACGGACGCCAGCAACTTGGAGACACCCCGTTCCGAGTCCCCTGACCTCATCCTGCACGACTCCGGCGTCAGTGCCGCCCGGGCGGCGGCGGCGGCGGCGGCGGCAGCGGCGGCGGCGGCGGCGGCAGCGGCGGCCTCGGCGGGAGGCAAGGAAGCAGCGTCTGGCCCCAACGATTCTTAGAGGCCGGGCGAGAGGCGCGAGCGAGCGAGCGAGCGAATAGAGACACCAAGAACGAACGAGAGAGGTTCGGAGGGCGAGTGAGCGGGGGCCGGGAGGGCAGGGGCTCCAGTGACGACCCCGGGCCGGGACCGGGCGCCAGGCGAGTCGGGCTGCGGCTCGCCGGCCGCGCCGGGAGCTCCCCTCCGCCGTCCGCGCCCAGACGAGAGTCGAACGTGTGGTCCAGAAACAAAAGCAAACCATCCTCCGACACAAACACTCTTTGAAACTATACACACACACTGACACACACACGGAGACCTACAACAAGTACGCACACTCACGCGCGCGCACACACGCATTCATAGCACTCGCACAAACTTCTCGAGCCAAGAGCAATACACAGAAAGGCTCCCTCTTCCCTACTGCCCACCTCCCTCCACTGCCCTTCTCTTTCCTTTTCTCAAAAAGCAAGCCACCACCCAGCAAAGGACTGTCAGAACATTTGAAAACAAACGGGACCTATAAAAACACCCTTTGTGTGGATTATATATAAAATGCTCCAAGTCCTGCTTGATATCTACTTACAGTGAGACTTTTTTCCTTAAAAAAAGGAAGCATCAAAAGGCTTAAGGTGAGAATTAAACTGGAAGTCTAGCGACAGTTTCTCTGTATTTCATAACATCTGTATAAATAGGGTTCAAAAGATTGTGTTCTCTTTTATTTTCTTGTAAATGTTCATTCAAATAGAGGTTTTTTTCCGGTGAATTCCTGAAATTCAGGGAGTTTTTTTTAATTTTCTGATGCACTTTGTGAAAGTCAGTATATATGTAAAAGATATTTAAAATGTTGAGTTATCATTTCACTCACAACCACGTAAGTTAAAGTCATCTAAAGAAATTAAATGCGTTTATCTGTATGAAGAAAATCTTGACATCATATTTTCATTTTGGTATTATTAAAGGACTCTGAACAATACACTTCCTTTTTTTTAAAATCCTGTTTCCCCCCTCAATAATCTTTGCGTGGGTTAACTTTTTTTGTTGGGGAAAAAAAAATTCCCTTAATGTTAGTTGTAGGTAATGTAAAGTTTATGTGGGTTATAAAAGCCATAATACATATACGTTTTTGAGAAGTCAAAATTATTTATTTGTATATCAACGGCATAAATTAAATTGGGTTATAAGAACGTGTAGTTGTATTACTTAATGGGAAGACTTTCCAAAGGTGAAATTTTAAAACTCTGGAGCACCTAAAAAATGAAAACGTCTTTGGCAGCTTTAACTGGGAAGGTGTTTTTACGCCTCCCGGAGGGGTCAGAGAAAACTCTGGTGGGTTTGTTTGTTTTTAAAAAGCGATTTAAAAACAATCTGTGAAAGGAAGAAGCTTTTACAAAAAAAAGTCTTTTAGCTCCCAAGGCCCTCTACGTTGGGAGGCAACTCAGGGGAATAAATCGCTAGAGTCAATACCCCGGAAAAGACATTTCATGCCTAAATGAAAATCTTGTTAAATGTTATTAATTTTGACTTAGAGCACACAGCAGCCCCCTGTGCCTTGTATTCCCTTATTAGGGATTCATGTCTTATCAAATATCTAATTAATCTCCTAGACATCATTTGTTCTGGCCAACTTTATCTCAGCTGGTCCGCGGGGAAAACTCCAAATATTCTCTGTGACAAAGCTCCCTTGAAGATCTTTTTAATTGTCTAAATTAACTGCACCAAATTTGCATGTCAAACGGTAAAGGGCAACCTGAGATAAAATGTAAACGTTTTAAAAGCCCCCAAACTAAGCACTTGATTTGATAACTAGGCTTTTTAATGTTATGGAAGACAACTGCTCCTTTCCTTTTCAAAGACGGCTGATCTATGCAAATAGTGAATTGGAAATGCCTAGGTCCCCGCGCCAGCAAATGGCCCTCGCAGGTTATTTGAATATCAGTGGCGCTGCTTCTGAAAAGGTTCAAGGATGCTCTCTGACTTCTTTGTGATTACTCAGTGCGGCGTCTTATTCTGAAGAAAAAAACTCAGGAATAATTAAAGGCTGGGATCAGGCCTGGGAACACGTTTGGGACAGGAATCTCATTTAGACAGTCTCTTTCAAAATAAGGCACAGTTAAATTGACCAGAAGGCAATTATTGAAATGAAAATTATTTTCACTCTCTTTGTCTTCTGACCACCAACTTAACAGCCCCAGTTTAAAAGAAGGAGAAAAGAGGGAGAGACGAAAAGAAAATTGGTAAATGAGATAATTTCGCAATTCGCAAAAATGTTAATTTAGAAAATAAAGTACATATTTACAGAATAAAAATATTTCTAAAAGGCTTCCCACACGAGAGGAAATACAAGCGAAGTCAGCAGCAATAGCTTTTTTTTTTCTTCTTTTTTGATTACTGTCATCTTGGGAACTTGAATGAGGGTTTTGATTTTTAGGAAACAAAAAAATAAATTATTGATATTAACAATTAACAAAATGTTTTCTCGCAAACTGCTCTGAAAAGCCAAGCAGAAAAGTAGCGATAAAACAGAACGAAGGTCCCCAGGGGGGGCGTTTGCAGCGTGAGGTCCAGCGGCTTCTTCCCTCTCCTTCTTGCGCTCCCGCAGGCTCGGATGCCCCGCTCTTCCTCCTGAGTTTTTCTTTGGCCATTTTCTCTCCCCGCTCACACTGTTCATAACCGGGACCCCCTACTCCCCAGGCGCCTTCTGGTTCGGGTCTGGTCTTCTGGAGAGGCTGGCAAGGAAGGCTGCGTTGACGCTGGGGGCTTGGGCCGAGGCGCTGGAGGCCCGGAGGGTGCCCGGCGCGTTGGGGGCCGCCGGCTGGCGGCGCGGAGTTGCGGCTGTGGCGGGGTTTCCCGAGGAATGAGGGCGCCCGGGCGTCGGGCCCAGGCAGCTTTGTTTCTCGTTGATAATAAGGCAGATCAAAGGGCCTGGCCGTGCAGGTCCCGCTGGCCGCGCAGCTCCCTCCGCAGGCCAGTGATCAAGGCCTCTGCGCGCTGCCTCTGCCCCGCGGGTCAGGGGACGTCCATCACCGAGGTCCCCGGGAACGGCGGGCGGCGGCCGGGCCCAGCGTCCAGCCGGGAGCCCCGAGTGCGCGGAACCTGAACCCGAGGGAGCGGGCCCCCGCCCCCTGGCCGAAACAACAGGCGAAAACACACCCCAGCCCCACTGCCCGCCCCTCCCCACAGCCCCGGGCGCCCCTGTGGGCGCGGGGAACCTTGACCCGAGCGGGTGGCGACCGGCCGGCCGGGCTGAGCAAATGGGAGAAAGCGCGCGTGAGAGGAGAGGGCCCATGAGCGAGGACACGAACGCGGTCCCCGGCGGTGGTGGGGCCGCGCCTCCCCAGGGCCACCTCCGGGCCGGGCGGCCTGGGCCTCTCTGGCTCAGGCGCCCGGAGGAGCCAGAGGCCGGGGCCGGGGCCCAAGCGCAGATGAGGACAGCAGGCTGGAGGCCGGTGGGCGGCGGGGTCCGCGGCTGGGGCCCCGAGTCCCGCCCGGCCCGGCGAGGGGCCAGGACATTTCGTTTCAGCCGGCTTCTCCCGGCGTGTCCTGCTCCGTGGCTGCCTGCGCTACACTGGCTCGGACACCACGTTTTCCTCGGCCCTGCGCCCACCCTGCCCCCTTCCACAGCCTCCCCTGCGGCCTCCTTTTCTCGTGCTCCTTTTCTCCCCTTGGAGTGAGCGGGAGCCTACCTGGTGAGGAAAAAGAAAAACAGAAAAAGAAAAGAGATTTTCTTTCCTCAAGGAGGGAAGACATTATTTTGAGGAGATTAGATTGTGCACCTGAATGGCGTGTCTGGACATCCCGTTAAGTCGTTACAAGTCGTGTAAAATTGAATTTCTTTTTATTCAGATGGAAACTTATTTATTTTAACTCTAATCTTATTTGCATCTATTATCTGTATTCACCAAGGCTCTCTTCCACCACAAAAATGCAGATGAAGTAAATCTCACATAAATCCCGCCCATTTGTGTAATTGGTATACTAAGTGTTTATTTTAAGTGAGAATAATTTAGCTACAAATTTTCTTAAGGAATAACATTCTTAACACATTAAAAAAACTGAAAACTCTGATTTGCTTTTATGTTTGACAGTAGCTCTTGATTCCCTTCGGAGGAGCCTGGCGAGTGCGGCTCGCGGGCGCCATCTAGAGCCGCGGGGCGGGAGGGCCGCGCCGTCGGCCGGGCTCGCGGCTACAGGCGCGGGGAGACCGGCTTTTGCCGCCAGCTGCGGCGACCCGGCGCACCAGGCAAAGAAAAGCCGGGCTCTGTGGTCCAAGCCGCGACGAGCCCCGCTTTTGGGGGGCACTGGTCGGCGGTGGTTCCTAGGGAAGACGGCCGTTTCTGGAACGTGCTGACTGAAAACCCAATCAAACAAAATAACGCCCGGTTGGCCCTGGTCTTAGCATTGTCTCATTCGACAACATCCTTCTCAAGGCAACTTCGGGGTCTTCCAACTTAGGAGTGGAGAACGCCGCGCGCGGTCGGCGGCGAGGGGCCCCGGGGCGGGGCCCAGCCGTGCACAGCCCCTACCACCCAGGATCCCGGCTCCCAGCGCCGAGGCCCGCGAGGACCGCCCGGACTGGCGGGAAGGCAGCTGATTTCCAAGCAGGCCCCCAGACCCCTTGGAAGGAGAGGGAAGCAAGGGGCCGGAGCTTTCGCCAGCCCGGGCCGAGGCCGGCCGAAGCAACCCCCCGCCTCGCCGCCGTCCTCCGCGCGGCCACCCCAGCCGACTCGGGCGCCGGGCACGACGGGGCTGGCCGGGCGCAGCCAGGCAGGGGCGCAGGGCGACCCCAGGTCACCGAGAAGGCCCAGACTCCTAGCCCCAGGCCTTCCCGCAGGGTGCGCACGCCGCCCACCCCGGAGCAAACCGACCCCTTTTGTCCTCACCTTTTCCCTTGGAAACCCAAATCTGAAATCGGGTGACAGTGGGGGTGTTGGCTAATTTCCCCTCCTGTCTGTGCATCGCCCTCCCCCCACCCAACTCTTTCCCTCTTCTTCCCAGTCCACTCCTCCACCCCACCCCACCCCCATCCTCAGACGTCTTGAAGTGACTTCCTCCCCCTGGTTTCTTGTCTCCCTCCTCCCCCCGCATTTATTGTATTTTAATTTTAAAAGCGACACCTTCAAACCCCGCGCCCGAGGCGGCGGAGCCGTCGTCGCCCGCCGCGGCGAGAGCCCGGCCAAGGCGCGGGGCGCCCGGCTCCCCGAACTCGCGCCGGGGAAACGCAGCGCGTTTCCGGGAACTCGCAGCCACCTTTGCGGCGGGTAACTCGCCTGGGTTTGTATTTGCTGTTTTAATACAAACCCCGCCGCACTGCCTATTTCAAAGATGTGCTAATTACTACTTGGATAGCAGGGCGCAAAGTCCTTGTCCATTTCCCAGTACAAAGTAGGTTGCTAGAAAATTTGAAATTGCCTTTCAGCCTAAAGCTGCCTTACCTGAATGTCATAATTACAGTAATTATGTACATCCAAATTACATGCTAATTAAATTAGAATCAAATCGTTCTAAATCGAAATCAAATGAGGTAGTGAAGAATTAATCAATGACAACATAAATAGAGAGCTTACTTCAGAGATATTTATTGTAACGATACAAGGAGGAATTTGATCTGAAAAAGTCACCTGTTTATTTACTTTCAAATTAGTAATCAGTTATTATCCCTTCTCCATAATTTTAACCTTTCAGTGTTATTTACCCCCCACCCTTTCCAGACGGTGGAGTTTATAGAAATATGTATGAGGTAAATACATACAGACATGCCTCCCCCATATAGCATTGATATAAATATATACAGTGTGTTTGCAACTCCAGTTAAGGGGGTTTCACAATGTCCATGGGGACACATCCCTTCAGGGCCGGTTCTCAGGGACCCCAGAAAGCATAGCACCTAAGAGTTTTAGGTTTTCCAAAACCCTTGCACTCTCTTCCTTTGAAAATCCATGCTGGTGATTTTTGCATTGTTCTGCAAGCATCTAACTATTTCTGGGTTATTCCTTTATAAAATAAATGCAAAATGATAGGGTGTCTCCTTTCATCCATTTTCTGCGCAGATTGCTGGCGAGAGTTTCATCCATTTTCTGCGCAGATTGCTGGCGAGAGTTGACATTTTCATCTTTTTTGCCCCAGGAGCGAGAGATTGGCATCGGCTTCACGAAGCGCCCTCTTCACCTGTGGAGCCCAAGCGACCAGAGAAATTCTCTGGCTTCCCTAAGCGCTGGAGGCGAGGGCGTCCTTCGACCCGCGCAGGGGACGCGCGCCCGAGGCCCGGCGAGCTTCGGCGGGGACTGGCGGGCGAGGGTGCTCGGCGGCCGGCGGCGGCGCGAGGAAAGGCCTGGGAAAGTCTTCTGGGTGGGCTCGGGCCGCGGGGTGCGGGCAGCGGAGCTGACCCGGACCCTTGCCGGGTACCCCTCGTGGGCAGGGCGGGGGCGGCCTCCTCGCGCGGGAGGCGCTTCTTCCAGGGAGGGTATGCGCCCTCTCATTCTCAGACACCCAGTTAGGGTTTGGGGTGTGTTCAAAAGGTTGCCAGACGCGCGTCCAGAAGGAAGACACAAGCGTACGCGGGGTGGCGTCCTTTCTGGGGAGGGGCGAGAGTGACCCCAGCCCTGGACTCACCCTATCACCCCACTCCAGCCCCCTTCCAGCTTCCTTTTAGGGCGACGTCCTTGGAAGCCCCGCTCTGATCGGCCCCCCGGAGCCCCCAGACTTCCACTTCTGCCCACACCCGGAGCCCAAGGGACTGGGGTTTCCTATGTCCCCGAGTGGGCAAAGGCGGCTCACGGGCACCTGGGGCTGGGGCGTGCGTTCCTGTCCACGCCAAGCAGCGCTTGGCGTTTCTTCCCGCACCTTAGCGTCGTGATTTTCGCTACATTCTGGGCATTCTCGGGGTGATGCTAAGTGTGGCGGGAAGGGAGAAGACAGAGGGAAGGTGGTGAGGAGTTATCTGCTTCTTTTTCTGTCAGCAGGAACCGGGTTTTAGAAGCCTCTGTTGGGAAAGCTCTCAGTGTTTCCCAAACCTTGCGGTTCCCCCGTCTTATTTGTTCCTCACAACTTTTTAAAAGCATTTCTCCTTTTTGATCTGAAAACTCTCCCAAGGCCTACAGCTGTTGCATGCCTTTCTTTATCTCTGTTCAAGAAATGGTAACTATAGCAAAGTTTTTCCTTTTCGGAAAACCTAAATAAGATTTTTAAATACCCGTTAGCCACTGACGCTAAAAATGCAGCTTTCTTCCTGGTCTTAAGCACAGGCTGTGGAGGATGCGGCCTTACAGGCCTCCACCAGTGGTCATTAGGTCTTGGCCCAGTGGTCATTAGGTAAGGAGGAGAGTGCAATGGCTCAGGTGGATTTTGAACTCTTTGAGCTTCAATGCTAAAGCATACTAAATGTTCGATGATTAAAACTGGGAAATGCCTGCTCCCAGCAGCGTGGACTGATCTGATTCACTATCAGCAAGCAGTCTCACAGAACAGCAAGAAAGGTCTCTCCCAGCCTTTCAGATAAAAAGCTTCCTTCACATTACAGCCCAATGAGTCAAAATAAGATCTCCATTTCATATTGCAAGGTAAGCAGCCCTACCACTATGCTGCAGCAACCTCTGCCTATTTTGGCATTTATTAAAAGAAATTATGACTAATTTACAACATAGACATTCAGATAAACAAGTCCTAACCCAGCAACTTGATCTTTTCTGGCCATTTGTAAATCGACAGCACCTCCTACAGGAATTAATTTGCTAGTGTTATGTTAAATGTCAGGATAGAGGAAGTGTGTGTGTGTGGAGGGGGGAGGAAGGTGGAATGCCCCAAAAGTGTGTCCCATGCCTCTCTCTGAAGTTCCAGGGCCACAGACAAATAAGAAATGCCTAGGTGTACCATAATTTCTTTAAAATAACTTCTCTATGTAAGAAGAATGACAAATTTCAGCAGACTGGTTTTCTTAGAAAAAAGTCACTGTTGAGGACTTTTGTTTTGAGACAGTCTCACTCTGTTGCCCCGGGCTCAAGCAATCCTTCTGCCTTCAGCCTCAGCCTCCTGAGCAGCTGGGACTACAGGCATGCACCACCATGACTGGCTAATTTTTTCTCTATATGTTTTTAGTTGTCCAGCTAATTTCTTTCCATTTCTTTTTAAGTAGAGACGGAGTCTTGCTCTTGCTCAGGTTGGTCTCAAACTCCCGCACTCAAACGATTCTCCTGCCTCAGTCTCCCAGAGTGCTAGATGTTTGGGTTCTTAAATCATAGATTGATTCATTAAACTTGGAGGATTCTTCTTTGACTTTCTGTACATAGAGGAATCTCTACACATATTAGACATTCTTTTTATTATCCAGAGGTTTAACTCTGGTCTCTACCTTACATTTCAAAACCAAAAGTAGAACGAGATGGTAATATTGTTATTTAAAAAATCACGTTCAATTATTTTATCCCATATCATTTAAAATGTTAGCCCATAACACTTAAAGCTGTTTGTTATCATGTTATGGTTGTGTGTGAAAATGCTTCCCTTCCGTTTTTAAGTTCACAAGTTAGAATGCTCCTCATTAGGGTGGTTGAACACTCTTGGGTGACCAAGGCTGAAAGCAAAACAGTAAATCAACATCTTCTACAACTACATGAAAAATTTTCTCAGAATTAGATAGGTAAGAATATTAAAGCTTTTGCTAGTACTTTATAATTCCTCAATCTTAACAATGAGGGATAATTAAATCAGATACTTAAATTCTTATGGTCACTTTATAAAAAGTTAAAAGTGGACCACACTTTCGTGAAAGTCAAATGAAAAAAGTGTAGGAAATGAAAACATATTTAGTTCATTTTGAATTATAGGATGCATTTCAACATTTTTCTTCATGAACACTGTATTGCTTCAGAAACTCTTTAAGGCAGTAAGTATTGCATAGGTTTTGACATGATAAAAATTATAAAGTCTAAAAAGGTGTAAGGGAGAAAATAATCACTGCAACACTGATGAACTCAAGGTGTAAATTAGCAGTCTTTATCAATTTCAAATGCATGAAAGCTTTTTTTTTAAGAGAAGGAAAGGGATCTTTGAGGTACACTGTAAGTTATTAAAGAATACTGTAGAAGGAATTCAAGTTCCTCTTTCCTCCAACTCTCTTAAAGGCTAAATAATCAAAGAGTTGCTTACATCTTTATTTAGCTTCTCTTAAATCACAGGACATTTGTTATGTGTGTACACAGACAAGGCAAAGACATATATATCAGACTATGTGGAGTAGTTTTACTTAACTCTTTACTTTCTCATAGAATTTGTGAAATTGTGACTATCAAAATCATCTAATATTTCATTTGTTATTAAATAACAGATGTTTTAAAAATATTGAACCCTGATAACAAAAATATTTATGGTCATGTTGTGAAGTATTTTTTTTTGGAATTTCATGTTACCTGTAATTTGTACTAATTTTTCTATAGTTTTTTACTATGTCCTTTGAAACACATGGGAAAATTTGCAGCTATATACCTTATACTCATGAAACATATCAAAATGGTTTGCATTGTTTCACTTGTGACATTATACAAATGCTTAACCTTTTGAAGTAAAATCTTTAATAGCTGTACACCAGTAGTAGTAGTAGCAGAGAGGCCGTTTGTGGTAGGCAGAATGATGGTCCCTCAAAGATGTATTAATAAATGCTCTAACTTCTGGAACCTGTGAATATGTTACATTACATGGAAAAGGGGAATTAAGGGTGCAGATAGAATTAAGGTTGCTAATCAGTTGATCTTAAAATAGGGAGATTATTGCAAGATTCTTCAGGTGGACACAATGTAATCACAAGGGGCCTTAAAATTGGAAGAGAGATGCAGAATGTCAAAGTGTCAAAGAATGGTTAGATGTGAGGAGGACTTGACTCCCCTTTGTTAGCTTTGAAAGTGGAGGAAAGGGGACAGGAGACAAGGAACACAGGTGGTGTCTAGACGCTGGAATAGGTGAGCAAACATATTCTCCCCTAGAGCCTCCAGAAGGAACACAGTCCTGCTGACACCCTGATTCTAGCCCAGTGAGACTCATGTCAGATTCTGATCTCTAGAACTGTTAAAATGATAAATGTAGGTTGTTTTAAGTTTGAGGTAATTTGTGTGGCAGCACAGAAAACTAATACTTCATCCAAATGTAAATAGCTTACTCTGTAGAACGAAAAACCTAAAGGGAGTTTAAAAGTCTTAAAGAGATATTAATCAATCTATTATTTAATTCATACTAGTGAATTTCAACAATGATTATTAGACTTTGCTTCAAGCAAATTCAAATCTTAAAAGTAATAACAAATTTGATTTAGAAAAAAAAGAAAATTAAATTATACTCATTCAATGTACTGTCATTCTTTTAATGATGTTTCAGAACAAAGAAAATGTCACAGAGTTATATGCAGTTTTTATCTGGTATAGGGCACAAGAAACGGTTACCAACAGAAAATATTTCTATAGTCCCAAAATAGATTACTTACAAATATTTGCAAAATTCATTCTTATGTTACTCAAGTACTTTTCTACTTAAAATGACAGTATACAGAGCTGAAAAATTAAAATAGAGCTTTTTTATTAGAAAGACAATAGTACATAATTTAGCCCTTGCTAAAAAAAAAAGTATTCAATAAGAAGTGGAGATATTTTTATTCCCAGGTAATTGTCATATACAGTCTCTCTTTATTCTCTCTCTACTTCTGCTTCGTTCTCTTTGTGTCACTTTAGTGTACTTATCTCCTGAGTGCTCTCTGTGCATTTTTTCCCCTCTGTATATATCTGTGCCACGGCTTCTGGTGTCATTTCTTCTGTTCCCCTCTTCACTGGGACTTCGCTGTAGCCGTTTTCTTATCTCCCTTTTCTTATAGCTAGCAGGACTTCGGCTCCGGCTTCTCCTACTCCGCTCATCCCTGTTGCGGCTTCTGCTGCTCCCCTCATTTCTTTCAGACCCTCTCTTCTCTGGGCTATGATTACGGCTTCTGGACTTTTTGTCAGAATCAGAATGGCTCCATTTGTTGTTCTCCCACGAACTTTCTTGTTTTAAAAACCTAGGCTTTTCCTTGTTACTGTGACTCCCAGAATGTTCTTCATCAAGTTTTCTCTTCTTAGACTTATCCTTCTCTTCAGAATCCCTGTTGTTATGCCCTGAACACTTGTTTTTCTTTCTTTTCTTCTTTTCCATTTTTTTTGATTTGTTGTCACTCTCACTCTCACTACTGCTTTCTGAAGTCTCAGATGAGGAGGAGGAAGATGAGGAGGAAGATGAAGAGGATGATTTGCTTTTATGTTTCTTGTGTTTACTTCTACTCTTCTGAAACTTTTTCTTCTTTCTATCTTTTTTCTTTTTCTTTTTTTTCTTCTCAAGTCGATCCAATTTCCTTAATTGGGAAAAAAGTAATAACAGACTGTGAAAAATAGTCCTTTCACTAACTATAACTTTAAGAACAGACAATATATTTTCTTAGAAGCTATTAAAATAGTATCTACATATGAACTCATTTACTTTATTAAATGACAAACCATTTTCTTCCTTTTAAATTATTCAAGTAAGTTTAAATTCAAAAATTAAACACATTAACTGAATTCTCTGACTATATTTCATCAATGGTAATGACTATTTAAAAAAAAAAATTAGCCAGGTACAATGGCTTATCACTTTAGCCCAGGAGTTCAAGTTCAGTCTGGGAAATGTAGTTAAGACTCCATCTCTAAAATATATAAATTAAAATTTTTAAAAATTCTGAGCCAGAATTTGAAATTATATAGCACTTTAAATAAATGGTCATTCTGATCTAAAGAAAATATGTGAAAGGTATATAATATCAGTTGTATCTACTGTACACTCAAATTTATAGCTATCAGATGAAAAATTAATTTTACATATGTACTATTTTAAAGCATGGAAATATTAATCAATATTATAAAAATTCAAGAGTATAGTCTCCAGAAATTGAATAAGAATACATTTAAAAATTTTGGTACTCTTTGTTGGGACTTTATAAAATAATGTAATTACATACTAGTTTTCAACAATTGTTTAGTTTTATAAATAATTAGGACAATTCTGTTAAGGTATTCTGAATTTCTAAAGAGTATTTCACATTCTCAGAAGAATAACCTGTTTATATGATATGTCTGAGTTACTCTGAAAATAAAACTATGGGTTCTGTCCAGCCATTCTCAAAACTATACATACTGAAAACATCATGAGCTCCCTCTATTGGACTCAGCAGACATTTTTTTGGTTCTTTAATCCAGAGGCAGTCTGTTTAACAAAATTCATATTTACCTTAAATTTAAGCATTCTTTCTGCACTCCTCATAAAATTTTACAAAATGTAAAAAAAAGGATACATGGCCAAAAATGTTTCCTAAGAACACACTGTGTACAAAGACAAATCTATTAAGAAAAGTAAAGCTACAAAAATAAGTCTATTTCCAAATTAAATAAATGTTCTGGAAAGTATACAACCTTAAACTCATTTTCATATTATTGAAAAGAAATACAAAATTGTATTAGTATAGCTGAAGAATAAATCAATAAATATGATGCACAGTTTAAGTATCTTCTTGAGTTCTTAGGATCAGAACTGAATATGATGAAACAAAGAAAAAAATAAATCTATTAAGTATATACTTTTAAATTACCTGAGAAGTTTCTGTTTTTGTTTGGTTGTCAGTGACTTTAAAAATTCAACTTCTGGATCTTCTTCACCCTCACTTGCAACATACTCCTGAGTCAATAAAGATATCATTAAATTGCTAGATTTCAAGACAAATTAGTTAATAGATAGGGAAGAAAACATTTATAAATAAGATGTTTTGCATCAGGGGCACACAGTAGATGAATATGATATTTTGGATTGGGAAGTGGGAAGGAATTAAAACCACTGTTTTGTAGTCTACCTGCTCACAGGAGGATCATAATAGACTAAGAGGTTAACATGACTGCTTTGCCAGCAGTAGGTAACTTCATCAGGAAGAGGAAAACAGAAACATTAATAAAACATTTATACCATGGTTTCCACTCTCTATCACTTGAATTTAAACACTTGCCAGTTTAAATATTTTATTTTTAACTTAATAATATATGAAAAACAAGAAGATCATGAACCTTTCAGGAAGGTCAAAATATCCACTATTTTACCCTTTATTATATTTCAATAATACATTATCGGCCGGGTTTAGTGGCTCACGCTTGTAATCCTAGCACTCTGGGAGGCCAATGCAGGCGATCGCTCAAGGTCAGGAGTTCAAAACCAGCCTGAGCGAGACCCTATCTCTACTAAAAATAGAAAGAAATTAATTGGCCAACTAAAAATATATATAGAAAAAATTAGCTGGGCATGGTGGCACATTCCTGTAGTCCCAGCTACTTTGGAGGCTGAGGCAGGCGGATTGCTTGAGCCCAGGTGTTTGAGGTTGCTGTGAGCTAGGCTGACGCCATGGCACTCTAGCCAGGGCAAAAGAGTGAGACTCTGTCTCAAAAACAAAACAAAACAAAAAAAAACCCATTATCAAACATATGATAATATAGTCTTTCAAACGCAATCATTTTCTGGATTTATGTATAGTTTAATAAGTTAAAGAAGTTTAAAGTATTTCTATAATTTTTAGGGGTTTATTTTTATATACTTCTTCCCATTGGTTCTATTTAATGTCACCTCAGGGGCATGTTAACAGGAAGGAGAAAACAACAACCTTACCAGTTGTTCAGTTATATATTGTATCCACATAAACCCAGAGGAGCAGTTTCATTTATTAAAATATAGGTTTACAAACAATTTCTCATTTAGGTTAAAATAATAAAGAAGCAAAATCAAAATACATTTTGGGTATTTTCTTTGCTCTATCTTACTTTCCTATGGATATATGCATATTGGAAAACATTAAGTAGCAATTCACAAGCAATCACATTTAGATTTATAGACATTTTCAGCTTACTGATAAAAAGATCATTACCTGTGACGGATCATTTGCGGTCAAGTTTCTCCCCAGTACATTTCGTTTCAGTGCAAACCCACTGTTTCTCATCTCCGCTATTAGCTCCGAGGGGTGCATCGATGGCCCTGTTCAAAAAAATCACAGTTTGAATGTATCATTTATATCTCTCTACCTTTTTCGGACTCCACAGTAGGAATGCAGTTGAAGCTTTGTTAAGTAAAATCACAGCTAAATCAACTCAATAATCTTCTGCTGAGCAAATAATCAGATATGATTTTCTAAAACAGCAGTCTGGAGATTCAGAATAGAAAATAATTGCATTTTTCTTTACGTGCAAGGGGAGTCTCTTCTTATGTAACTTTGTCATACTGAAAAAGATACATTTATCTCTTGTCTGGTTGGCAGTTTTTAGTATAAAATCAAAGCAAAATGATAAAAAACTACAATTAATTTTTAATAATTATTCTCTAAGAGTTCATTTAAAATAAATATTTTTAAAAGTATATGAGCAATTTATTATTCTAGTTTCCAATTCAAAATCCATCATTTATTTATCAAATATCAATACTAAATATATTGCCATGTGACAGCTAATCATCAACACATACACACATACACCTGCCTCCCTGTAAGTAACCATCAAGTACTTTATTTAACCTTGCTTATATATATATAGCCAGATTTTGAAATGTCGAGTTAATTAGTTTGAGATTGGTGACAGGCAATTTTAGGCTCACTATAGGTGTGTATGTTTTATATTTTTCACAAGCTGATTCCACTTTTGTAAAATCCCAAACTGAAAAGTGAGTTTCTTTTGGGTTCCCAAATATGAAATAACAATGGATAAATTTTTAAAAAATGTTTAAGGTCTGTCCCCTTCCCTTAAACATAAGGTTTATATAAGGTAGAAGACTCTTTCCTCCTCCTTTTGTTTATTTTCATTTCATTTTGTTTCCTCTACAGGTAGCACACTAATTACACCATTTCATAGCAGCTATTTAAAGTTTCTGGCCTTAATCATCTACGTAGGCTTAAATGAACTACCCTAGGTGATGTATCTGTACTATAAGGAAGAATGAGGTAGTTACTGCTGACAAGGAGTAAGGGAGGGTGGGGATAGAGGGACATTCAGAAACGGATTTTCTAGTTTGCTGATTACTTTGTCTATTTCTTTTTATTGCTTTATTTTACCACCTATTTGCATGTTCACCTGGCTGTTACCATTGTAAGCAAAAGACAATCAATTCAAATCTGTTGACTAGTCAATAGCAGCTTTTGTAAAAAATTTGGTGGGAAAAGTTCAGGTATAATATCTTTTATTGAGTTCTCTGGGTTTTACCATTCTATTCATATTACCAAGAACAATTGAAAGTTTGTTCTAAGTATTAGGGAGATGATAGGAAAAAACTGCCTATTAATGGCAAATGGGGGAGTTATTAATGATGTGATGCTTTACTAGGGATAGCAAGCCTTATTTAGTTAAAAATAAAACAAAATCATAATAAAGCAGCACCTTCATTTCATTATATTATTTTAAAACAAGAGAAGATTTGATTTTTCTTCTGTACAAGTATAATATCTTTTATTGAGTTCTCTGGGCTTTATCATTCTATTCATATTACCAAGAACAATTGAAAATTTGTTCTAAGTATTAGGGAGATGATAGGAAAAAACTGCCTATTAATGGCAAATGGGGGAGTTATTAATGATGTGATGCTTTACTAGGGAAAGAAAGCCTTATTTAGTTAAAAACAAAACAAAATCATAATAAAGCAGCACCTTCATTTCATTATATTATTTTAAAACAAGAGAAGATTTTATTTTTCTTCTGTACAAGGCATTTAATTCCTATGGATTACTTTAAAGATCCTTTAATTACTCAATTTGGTTGCTAATATTGATAATAAAATTTTTATTTTATTTTATTTTAATTTTGAGACAGAGTCTCCTCACTCTGTTGCCGGGGCTAGAGTGCTGTGGCATCAGCCTTGCTCGCAGCAACCTCAAACTCCAAGGCTCAAGCGATCCTTCTGCCTTAGCCTCTCAAGTGTCTGGGACTACAGGTATGTGCCACCATGCCTGGCTAATTTATCTATATATTTTTAGTTGTCCAACTAATTTCTTTCTATTTTTAGTAGAGACGCGGTCTTACTCTTGCTCAAGCTAGTTTCAAACTCCTGACCTTGAGCCATCCTCCTGCCTTAGCCTCCCAGAGTGCTAGGATTACAGGCATGAGCTACACCCCACCCGGCCGATAATAAAATCTTAAATAAAATTAGATTTTAAGTATTAATACTAGTTGCCTCTAAATGGCATAAAAGTGCTCATATAATTAATGGTTTTAAATGAATAACAGAGTGTTCAGTGGCTTCTTGAATTTCTCATGTAGAAACATAATTTTATAAAGTAGAAAATTTCTCTTCTGAAGTGTCAAAACTACATTTCCTTGTTAATAATTTTATTAGATGTCAAAAGAATTCAAACAGCAAACATGCTAAGAATTAGGATAGAAACCACCCCAGTAAAAGGTCAAAGAGCTTGGCCAATTGACTGAGGTTAGACTAATTTCATCAGTTTTCCATGACAAGATGGGTAATTTATTTTTATTTATTTATTTATTTTTGAGACAGAGTCTTGCTCTGTCACCCACACTAGACTGCAGTGGTGTCATCATAGCTCATAGCAACCTTAAACTCTTGGGCTCAAGTGATACTCCTATTTCAGCCGGCCAAGTAGCTAGGACTACAGATGCATGCCATCAAGCCCTGTTAATTTTTTATCTTTAGTAGAGACGGGGTCTTACTCTTGCTCAGGCTAGTCTCGAACTACTGGCCTCAAGTGATTCTCCCAAAGATGGGTAATTGTAATAAAATGTTTTAGAAAACATGCCTTCTTTACAGTACTTCCAACAAACTCAAGAAAACGATCTCTTTCCCCAGTGTTACGGAGATTATAAAACAATTATTCTTCTAAAGGCATTTATATTTCTCGAAAACCCCAAATTAAGTATTTGTGTAGTACATAAAATTATAATATACTTTATATTGTAAGACTTAAATACAGTACTAGTGAAGTAGCTGACAAACAGTACTTAATAGTAATTACTTTTACCAGTAGATATGCAACTTTCATGAATATTTTATGTCTTCATAATTAAAAAATGCCTTTAAAAATGCTTTTAATAGTAATATTTTCCAAAATCCAGTTTTTTTCACATATTTTTGTACTTAAGCCTTCTCCTATCATCAAGAGTTCTGGGTTTAAAGTTCTGGGTTAAGGAAATTTGACAAGTCTGGTTGAATGAAGATATATTTAGCAAATATCTTCATCCTTTCATGTAATTGTGACAGTGGCTATGTAGAGTTAAATTGATAGAAATGATCCCAGCTCTCTGAGAACTCAAAATTTAGTTGATATGTTCAAATGCAAAATAACTACTTTTATGTTTGATATCTTAAAATGTTAAATCAGCTGGAGCTGGGTCTTAGGAATGTTTGGCTTACTCTTAAATTTACTATTACAGAATAATTCTAGAGAATTCAGAAGAAGGGCATTTGTTCTAAAATGCAGGTTTGTGAGGGCTCCTCTCCAGTTCATCTCACCTATGCTGGGCTAAGCCTCCACAGCACGAAAATCAATGTTACAACTTAGAAAAGCAAGTCCACCGAAGAAACTGCTATACATTTGTTTATTTTGCAAACTTTCTTTGCTGTGATATGGGTATCAAAATACCTGTTGTGATAATGGTGTTCAGTTCCATATACCAATTAGACCCAGACTATTTTCTACTAGAAAAATATCATGAAATCAGTGTTTCACCAAAGAAAAATCTCCCAGGTGAATTATGTTATACAAAATTATGTATGTAAAAGGCTTAATCTACTCATTAAGACTATTTATTTTTATAGAACAAAAACAATGAAAGGTTAAAAAAAATGTTTTCTAGTACAACAGTTATTTCATTAGAGAATAATAAATGATATCAAAAGTCCTGAGCAAAGGCCATATAACTGACCCTACAATTAGAGGATAGCAGTCGCAGTCCCAGGTGAATGCCACAGACGGCACAGGAAGGGGACTAATGCTGAAGGCAGTGTTTCACTGCCAACACTAGGTCCACTTGTTCTGTCCAAGGTCAGATGAATCTTCCATTCAAAGTTCATCATTCTTTTCAAAGAATGCTTTACCACCTACAATTTTACAGCATTAAGACGGAGAAAAGAGAGCAGTGAGTTGTAGGTTAGGTAAGGCTAAATTAGAAATGCTTTTCCTTTCTTCCCCCAAATTTAACACATTAACTTATTGGATGCTATTGTTTGCTGAAACCAAATTGCTATTCCTAAAGTGAATATAGTTTTGCTTGCTATTACAGTGGTGATCTATTTTTCTCCCTTCCCATTATATGTGTGTGTGTGTGTGTGTTTTGTTCTAATTTAACTTTAATACTATGGAAAATTTCAAACCTATATCACACAGCTTCAAAAATATTTTGCTATTCTTGTTTTATCCATTATCTCCAACTTTATTTTTTGGTAGAGTATTTTAAATAAAATCTCAGATATCACTTTGGTATCAAGTTACTAACAAATAAGGACTAGTTCTTTTTTTTTTTTTTTTTTTGAGACAGAGTCTCGCTTTGTTGCCCAGGCTAGAGTGAGTGCCATGGCGTCAGCTTAGCTCACAGCAACCTCAAACTCCTGGGCTCCAGTGATCCTTCTGCCTCAGCCTCCCTGGTAGCTGGGACTACAGGCATGCGCCACCATGCCCGGCTAATTTTTTATATATATCAGTTGGCCAATTAATTTCTTTCTATTTATAGTAGAGACGGGGTCTCGCTCTTGCTCAGGCTGGTTTTGAACTCCTGACATTGAGCAATCCGCCCGCCTCGGCCTCCCAAGAGCTAGGATTACAGGCGTGAGCCACAGCGCCCAGCCTAGGACTAGTTCTTAAAACCACAAGACCTTTATTATACCTACCAATGTTGGCAATTTAAAAATATCTAATATTCAGTCAACATTTAGATTTCTCCAATGGTCTTGAAAGAATCCTGTTAGTTGGTTTATTCAGATTAGGATCCAAACAAGAGCCACACATTGCACTTGGTTTACAGATCTCTAAAGTCTCT